AAAAAAAAAAAAAAAAGAGAAAAATTTTAATGTAATTATATTTAAGAAAAAAAAAAAAAATTTTCAGTGTAATTTATTTTAAAACTTTTAAAATATATGTAATATATTATATGTATATAAAATAACTATATATATATATATATATTTATACGTGTATTAAAATATTTAAAGTATATTTAAAACTTTTTAAATATATTGTGATACATGTATAATTTCGTCAAAAATTAAATTAAAAAAAAAAAAAAAAAAAAAGTCATAACTAATAGAATATTTACATAAAACAACACGTATGTAATATATAATATATATATATATATATATATATATATATAAGACTTTCATCATATTTCAATATATAACACAATACTTTTGAAAATATCGATATCAACAATCCTGCTGTGGGCTTATTTTGGTCAAAGAATCTTTCCCCTAACAATTTCTTCACCCCTCTCTTCATTTCTATCTCAATCTCTATTTCTATTTCTATCTATCTCTCTCTCTCTCTTTCTCTCTCTATCATATTAAAACCATCGAATAAGAACTTTATACGTGAAACAGCCACGTCACTATATAGACCATTTTCAACAGACGTCTGGGAAAGCTCAGTCAGTGACATCACAAAGAAGTAAATAGTAGGGATAAACGTAAGTGCGTGATGTAAATGCTGACGTTATTTCATCGTCACATTAATGTTTCGATAAAGTAACATTTTACCGCGCTCTTCGACCCCTTTCAACCAAATACATTCGCGATATTCGATTGAGTCATAAGATTATTGCATATAAAGAGAGAAAAAGAAGTAAAAGAACGAAAGAGAAGGGAGGGAGGTGGGTGAGTGGGTGGTTGGAGAGAATGGCATGACGACATCCGATTGAAAATTTATAAACGCATATTATCGTCGTATGAAAATATTACGACTGTAATGTATGTATATATGACGAAAAATTACGACGATTATATTTTCTTTTCTTTTTTTCGCGACATTTGTTATTAAAATTGATATTCAAATGATGATTTTCTTAGAAGTTTGTGCAGTATATTGAAAAGGTTTTTAAAGTCTATAATAATATAAGTGGAAGTTTAATATAATTATAATATAATTATATTTAATTTAAATTAATTTATAATTAATATATTTAATAACAGATACTAAAATAATATATATAAATTATAAGTATTTTAAAAAATTATATATATAAGTGAAATTTTAATATTTTTATATATAATTAAATTAATATATATAAATTATAAGTATTTTAAAAAATTATATATATATAAGTGGAATTTTAATATATTTATATAATTAAATTAATATATATAAATTATAAGTGTTTTAAAAGATTATATATATAAAAGTGGACTTGACGAGATAAAATTTATTGAAATTCGTTTAATTTACTGATGTCAATATGTCAATATATTATAGGAGTTAAAATATTTACATAAAAAACATTTTATTTCTAAAAAAAAAAATGAGGATATTTATCTATATTTTATTTTTTATTTTTTAAACAAAATGTTGACAAATAAAAATCTTTTCGGAATATATTGTAAAAACTTTCGTTAAAATATTCGAATCGTATTTTAATGTCCACGAAACTACTACTGGATTTGACAGATTTTGAAAATGAAAACGCGATACGCCTGATTTAATCTGTCAATCATTTGGAAAAAAAAAAAAGGAAAATCAATTATTACGTGGGGGATTATATTTTCCTGTGAAATATATTGCACACGCCATTCGAGATTTATACCAATGTTTGACGCCTATAGAAATCCGTATTTCAAAAGAATAATATATAATCTAATTTAGGAAATAGCCGTTATTAATGGTTAAAAAGAGACCAGAGATTTTACATTAAATATCAATCTAGAGAAATGAATCTAATTAATGAAGATAATTATTTCGGATTTTAATATGATTTAAAATTGAAATGAATTATATTTTGAAAAGGTTGATATTTATTTACTTGAATAAATGATTAATTTATTTTTCAAAACAAATGTTTCACTTTTCAATTGCATATAGAAAAAACTGGATGTTACTCTCTAGCATACATTTCATATAACGATATAATTCAAATTGATATCATTAAAATAACTTACCGTTGAGACCATACTTCTCCTGATTCCTCTTTACTTGGTCTAGAGACAATCCTTTTTCTGCGTCCACATTGAAATAATTTAATACCTCCTCAACGGTCTTCGCATGGCCGTCCTCCATGATTGCTTCTTTATTTTAACACTGCTTATAGTATCCTCACAATGTTTATACCGTTCATTCAAGCAAACAAATTCTGAAATTGACAAGAAAAAACAAAATATATGTAACATTAAGCGATTCATCGTTTAACTTTGTTACACAGTATAAACTTATTATTATTATTATTATTATTATTATTATTATTATTATTAAAACAATAATGCATTCAGCAGGTATCTATAAAAAGCGAGTAAAAAGAACAAGAGTAATTATCAATGACAAGAGATAATGTTAGAAGTTTAATAAATTTAAACAAAGATTTAATTTTATAAAAATTAAAAAAAGTAAAACAAATATTAATTCAAATGCAATATATATATATATATATATATATAGTGTGTTGTTATTAAATTAGTAAGGACTTTGTAACTAATTTACATATTGCAATAACTTATAAAAGTAAAAGTGAAAAAGGATAAAAAGAGAAAGACAAGCAAGGAAGAGGGGTAAAACTTACCGAGCTATAATACATAGTGATAATGCAAAATGAGAAAGAAAAAAAAGTAACTGAAGAAAATGATAAGGTATATAAACGCGAGCACACACCTTACAAACTGTGCCTAGACGCCTTCAGTCCAGGTTAGAAAGACCTCGGGAGAAGGAAGTCTTCGATTACGAAGCAGTTTAAATGGCTTAATTTTCTCTCTTTTATTTTCTTCCCCGTTTCGAGTGGATTTTCGGTATACGAGGGAACAACAAAAAAATGATAATCACAAATTAGTTCAGGTATTCGTTGACGACGTGTCACGACGACAAAATCACGTTACGGTTTCACGAGTATTTAGGTTAGTAAAGAACAGGAGGAAAAAAGACAGAACTTGATTACGAGAAGAAAGATAGAGAAAGAAAGGGACAGATAGAGAGAGAGAGAAAGAGGAAAAGAGGGAGCGACACAAACGATTCACAGTTCACTCGAAGGCACGAGAGAAAAATATGAAAGAATATGTTTATCTCGTTGAAAATCAAATAATACCACGAATTATGAAACTTAGTTCTTTGATTAAACCAGTCTCGTATCACGAGGCACAGCCACTAAAATCCGAAGTGCACGTCATTTTCTTCTTGACAAGTACGGACACGAATTGCTAACCAAACCTCCGCTTCCGTCTGACTAAAAGCGACGAGAACGGCGAATCATCGCGCGCGCTAATAGCGCCATCTGTCGGAATGCGTCGATTATAAATCGACGCGCGCATCTAATGTAAGGCGGATTTTACGGATGAGAGTTTCTTTATTTCAATTAAATCTTATCGATATCTTTGTCGATATCTTAAAATTTATCGAAATTCATTAAAATAAGATACAAGTGGTTTGTTGAAACCTTTGGAATACGAATTTTGTTCTGAATTAAATTAATAGGTACTCGTAATCGTGATATCGCGACGCAGGAAAACAGATACGAAATGAAAAGTAAAGAGCATGTGGAGCGACGCCATTGGCTAAAACGGCGTGATGGAGTATGACGCATTCGGCTATTTTCAGGCTTCTGCTAGGCTATTTCCTTGGCGCGTATTTTAAGACGCTCACAGGACATTGCTGTATTGTAGTTATGTAATCATTATACAGCGAGAGCTTCAAATTTCTCCTTTCTTTATCAGATTGTCGTTAACATAAATTAATATAGAATATATTACAAATATTTGTTCATATTTTGGGTTAATATTTTATTATTTTTTAAAGACAAGAAAGGCACGCGTACGGTTAGTTACGATATGTAAAATAGCAAAGCATAAATATGACGCCTGCGATTATGTAACATATGATCGAGTTAAATCATTTTGCCGTTTAACCTACATCTTTAAATTATCAAGACTTTTTTCTCATGTAAATTCAAATAATTGCTAAAGTAATTAAGAATAGTTATTAATTTTATCTTTTCTTAAGTCGTAGGTATATACCTATATCAGAACTGATAAGATTTATCGAAATAGTTAGTGTGATCTAAATCTTACAATCAGTTATCACGAGAAGTAATATATTTAGTTGAAAATAATCATTTACAATTTATTGAATTTATTATTAAAACACAGAGGCCACATTCATAATCATATTTCTTTTCCTGAAGAATCTTATTGTAGAAAAAATATCGAGTTTTTTTATCGATGTTAACGAAGGTCCTAGTGTCATTAAATCGTCGCAAGTTCAAGGACGATACAGATCGAATTTAAAATTCGAATCAAGTTCAGAGGTCTCGTCTAGCGAGCCAAGGTTAGCTCTAAACTTAAGCATCAATAGGAAAGCAATGCAATGAGGTTAATCAGGGTTACGGTCATTGAATCAGTGACACAAATCTATTCGTCGTATATCTAAGCACTGCCTAATCAATCTGGAATCTCTCATTTCTCAGTTTTCATCATATCATCATTCAACATATCGAAAGTTTTTTCAACTTTTCGTTACCATCAATTCCCGACTCTAATCAACTGTATAATTAATCAAAAATTGATACGAGATTGATTTGATGTGCTTATAATAGATTCAAATTACAATAGTTACAAATTAATGTCAAGAGAATTAAAATTCAAAATATCATTCGATAGTTTCTCAAGAAAAATGAAAAAAAGAAACAAATTAGAATATATAACAGTGAGACAAAAGAAAAAAATAAGTTCCGTGGACTGACCCTTGCAACACTATTGTTCTGGGCTATCCTGTTTAACGAGAAAAATGACGCGCAGTAGTACATATCAGGATATAAACCGGCCCAATGAACTTGCCTTCCTGAGAACTCCTATGTAAAATGCACGCTAAGGATGATCGCGAAGAGACCGTTTGCGCAAAACTGGGAGATACTTTGGAAACAGTCTGAAAAGGACCGTTTAGACAAGTGGCTCTCCCTCGTACGCCCGGGAAGCGACTAGTCGGCCAAATCGCGCGTGCCCGAGCGAACGCTTTTAGCACTCGTCTCCGACGACTTCCTAATTATTTTGGCAGAGATGCTCGTCAGTTTCTCTCTCTTACTCTTTGATACATACGCACGCACACGCACACGCACATATACGCATATTTATGATCTCTCTTCCTTTTCCTCACACACATACACCTACATTTTCTCTCACTCTTTCTCTCTCTCTCTCTCTCTCTCTCTCATGAACTCATCCTCTCTTTGTTTTATCTTACAGCTGTTCAGTGATTATTAAACGCATCACAATTTCAAGATTGTTCGTCTTTGTTTTACAGGTTCCAGTCTCTTTGTGTATATATGTCTGTCTCTCTCTTTCTAAGCTTATATCATACCTCGTGATAGAACGATAGAATTAACCTAGATTAATATTAGCTTATTTTCAAAGTTCTTTGAAAATTTCACTAAACGTCTAACAGATGTGATATAATTTTGTTAGTATATAGTTATTAAAATAATGTAATATTATAATCTATTTCTATATACGTAAATATATATATGTATATACATATATTTATAAAATTATGTAGAAATATCGTTTCGATCTTTTCGAATAACCCAATAGTAATGGTTCTATTTGAAGACGAGATGCAACATGGTCGACGAGCTATAAAGATAGGAAGAACGGCGGTGTTTGTTGGCAAACAAGCAGAGGTCGTGTTTATATGTAACATGCACATAACACGCAGACGCTTCTAATGAGGTAATTCAAAGTGATCAAATCACTGATATATCGTATGGATTCTCAGAGAGAGGAAAAATCTTTCGTTTGAAGAAACAGCTATAATAATAAGAAAGGAAAAGAAAGAGAGTATGTAAAAGACAAGAGTAAAAAACCCAAATAGAAAGGCGAATGAGCAAAATCTTTCAATCTCTTAGCCCCGATTCAAGTTCCAAATATATTTAGAACCTACATATTTTATATAAAGTCCTGGTTCGAAAACTTCGAACTTAATGATGCGTGTCCGATATTTTCACTTTTCTTAATCCCGCGGATGTCCTGATAAATTTGTCGGAATTCTTGGCTCCCGTACGCTTTGCCACAGGTTATTCAACGACTCTTTCGAAAATCACTCGAATGCATTCGACCACGCAACAGAACAGGATATATCAATCATTTTTCATTATCTACAAATAAATGTCTTCTACCTAGCAAGTAAATATTATTCAATTTCGTATTTTCTTCGAATTTTTAACCGAGATGATTCCTACTGAAGCGACTAATGTCTCACACATTTTTTCGTAGCCTTGTTAAGGGAGAAACTGTTACATAATTAAAGCAGAGATAAAAAGGATAGTTGAAATTTAGACACGTGAGAATTGATTCACGAATTATTATATATATATAAAGATCGAAATCATTCAACTTTTTTTAAATACAAATCCTGTTTAAAAAGGATCAACTTTGTAATCACATCACTGCTAATCTTTTCTTGGTAAGATTGAAAGAGAATATGAAATAAACAAAGTAGCATAACTAATGAGAAAATAAATTAGTTCAAATCATTGACGATGATTCGTCGTTTATATTGGGTTTGTTGTTAATTGACATTTAGGATTCTCACGCTCTTATTTTGTAAATCCACAAAAAGCACGGTCCACGGTTGAGGCCAGTCCTGGTTTAGCTTTGTCTCTTTCATCGTCACAGCACTACTTTTCATCGATATTTTCCGACTTTTTTTTTGGTTTTTTTTGTTTGTTAAATCTTTCCTTTCGTACATCTCATTCTCTCTCTCTCTCTCTCTCTCTCTTTCTCTCTCTTTCTCTCTCTTTCTACCTCTCTTTTGTCACTTCGCGAATAATCACAAAAGCACTGTTATACGTATGTCGTGTCACCAAATTGACTTACCAATGTTTTTTCTTTCGTTCGATCCGTTATCTTTACGACTTAATCACCAGCACAGAGCGGACTCCAGTTAATTACACACTTGTGCCCAACACCGATAATAATCTTCTTGATATTCTTCCTTCTATGTAATTTTCCAAATAAAAATCGATGAAAATGAAATAACGTTTCACGACAATCGCAAAAATATTTCAGGTACAACGTAATGACAGGAATTACTCCTCCCTGTGCATGGTTGTTTACGCGGCTTTCACTCGAAATTTTTACATTTAAGGACAACGAAGAAACATTCAAAAGGCTACGCCTGCGTTGCTAAACGAAACGAAGCGCCGAGAGTCTACGAAAATCGTTTAAATAGTCCGTCAACGTCGCTACCTGGCGGCCAGACGTGGAACAAGGAAAAGTCTGGCCGGAAGCCAGTGGTCCCGGATGTCGCAAAAGGGAGGTAGGTTCTTTCCCTCTTCCTCTCTCTCTCTCTCTCTCTCTCTCTCTCTCTCTCTTTCTTTCTACCACTACTTTGCACTTTTTCTATTTAACCTTGCAACTCGGCAAACCACCAAACTAAGTAAACATTCTTTTTCAAGACATTTCTTTACCCCTTTTAAGTTTGGTTAGCTTGAACAGACAATTAAAAAAAAAAAGCCATTTTCGTCGCCATTTTTGTTCCTTCATTTCAGGTACCGGAAGTATACCTCTATCAAAGCTCTCGTATGAAATTTACAAAGTCTATCAATGATAAAACATTGCAATATAAAAATGTTACTTTTTTTTTTATTGCAAAAGTCTAATACAATTAGAAATAATTAAAAATTGAAAATAAAATTCGGAGATTTAAAGAAAGGATAGAAAAATGTCGATTATAGTATAATGTACCTTATACATTAATACGCTTTTCTTGTACCAATGATAATACAGCGAACAATGCAAAATACCATTTAAAAAAATGTATTTTATTATAAATATTATATATATATATATATATATTTTTTTTTGGTCGTGTACTTTTATCGATAAAGTATTCAAATGAATGTTTACGATGTGACAGGTATCTACACATTTAACCTAGTCACGATGTATACAATTTAAGCTGACATACGCGCACATGCGAGTAAGCAGAAAGTTACGCTCGCCTACGCTCGAGGCGCCTGCTGTTCCAAGTATAAGCGTGGCAAGGTAGAGCAAAAGAAGAGACGGGAAGAGAAGGGAAGACGTAAAACGCACGCCGGTCAACGGCCTGTTCTTTGCGGGAATTCTAAATACATTTAACGTACAAGCCAATGCGTTACCGTTACGGTTGCACTGTCATTAGAAAAGTTCACTGGTCCTTTCTTTTTCTCTACTTATCTTTGATAAACTTAAATGTGCTCGACCGAATTTACATTTTTTATTTTCGGTGGTTGTTTTAAACTGTACAATTCTATTTTCTTCATAATTAAATTACGTTACAATATATGAATGATTATTAATATTTTCATAATAGCATGTATTAATGAAACTCTTGTTACGCTTTTATACATTAAAAACTGACAGCAAGGTGGTCCATTATATATCATAAAGAAATATTCTTCATTGATTGTTATATAATGTTTAATGAATAACTCTTTTCATGGTAATTTATCAAACACACAACACGCTTTTAAAAACCTTCAAACTCTTTGCAAACGTGAACTTCAGGAGTAGAAGGAAGTTAAAAATAAAATTTAGAAGCATTATAGCTTTTGCCGTGTGCTGATGTTGGCGGAAGAATATCCCATGTATTTATGGACGCGTTTTATGTTTTTATAAATGAACTGTTAAACAGCTTTGATGAGACTAACTGTCAAGCGGATTATCTTCGCCATCTTTTTTTATAATAGATTTCTAATTCATCACTAACTGTTGTTCGTAAAAATAAATAATATTAGAATAGAAATGTGCAAACATAAAATGTATAACAAAAGTAATAATACAATTTAACTAATATTTGTATTTGAAAATAATAGAAATGTTTAATTTCATATTCTCTTTCTAAAAGAAAAATATGTAGAAGCTTCTTGTCAGTGTTGATGGACATATGACATCGATGATGGTGTCACAAATGTGGTTCGACCCAGCCACAACCCTCGAACTCACCAGAATCGAGAACATAAAATCGTTCGTATAGATCTATGTATATTTTCACCGTATATTGCACATATTTTTAGGTAAGCAGCTAAATAATACGAAATTAGAACGCTCGCGGCCTTTGTACGAGCCGACGTCGTCATTAGTCGTTTGAAGGCTCACGATGTACGGTTACGTTACGTATGTTTCAATCTACCATCGTTCTATCCCTGGGAGGCATTATTATCGCCAGTATCCAGAATAGCAATTTAAGTGTGTGTGGCCTCTTCGACTAATCTCAGCATGCTTTCATCGGTTATTAAAATTCGAATGTTCAATGGTAACCAGATGCATTTAGTAATTAATCTAACCGATATTCGTAACGCAATTTACTTATCCTCTTATTCTTATCTTATGCTTGATATAAATATATAAGTAAATGCAGTAGAAAAAGATATTTAACAATTGTTACAAACAAATTTGTTAAGACATGTATTATTCGTAAAAACCAAATAGAAAATATTATCGAATCAAAACAGTAAGTTTACTTTTCTCTCGAAAATCCTTGGAAAGTCCTCTAAATTATTTATCAGCGAAGAGAACGTGCCGAAATATGTATCTCTCTCTCTCTCTCTCTTTCTCTCTCTCTTTCTATTCATAATATATTTTATACATTTAGAAACTGAAGGGAAAGCCGAAAGGTATTTATATTCTTCTCGTGAGACTTTGAACCGTGTGCGAAACGGGAGGAACGAAAAAATGAGGCAACGTCATAGTCATGAATAAGTGACTGTTATGACAGAACGGAATAGGAACTTGAAATCGTCGTTCAAAGTCTTATGTTAGCTAACAAGAGATGGAGTGCACAAGTCGTGTCCTAAGCTCGTACAAACTCTTGAAGGAGTCGAACACATATGACAGCGAGTTTAGTCGTACGTTGACAGCTGTTGTATGTGCTCTTTGTGCCACCGCCAGCCGGTTGATCTCAAACGGGTTGCTGTCTCGAGACAAGGATAATATTAGATATGCGGCATGTAATTCATGTTATTCCTGTTAGAGATTTGAATTTACGATTATGATTTTTCTTTCCATCGATATTTTGTCGTTCATCGATTATCATTCGATGAACCATATCATTTACAAAGAGTCTCGTAAATGTTAGCACATACTCTACCAACGATAAACAAATTATTCATACCACTAGACTTAGATCTTTGCTTTTACGGTTTATGCCATGGTATATCGTCGTTGAACAGGAGAAGGCCACCGATGCACCTGGCTCAGTTTAAAGATCGAAATCGATTGCAATCCGGCTAAAGTGGTCTGATTTTGAATGCTTCAAAAGCCCCTACTTTACTCCTACTTTTCTTCAAAGTTAATACGAATCGGTATATATTACTTATGTAAACTATGTATCTTACGTAGAGAATTAACACACACATACACATTTATATATATCTATATAAACATCAAGCTAATTATAAATCCAGCGAGTGGGGTTCGTACGTAGATACGTACGTTCATTACCTACGCATAAGCAGTCAAGTAATTTGCGATGCAGTTGGTCTTAGAAGACCTATGCTACGACGACCTACCTAAAAATATACTTAGGGGGTCCGATCAACGGCCAACTGGGCCAGTGAAGTAACCTTAGCTCAACGTCCCAAATATAGTCCGACATCTCTACATAGCGACTACCGATAGTTGGCATCACGCGTTTATATCCTGATCTACAGATGTAACTGTAAGAAGTATAATAACGTCTGTCAGCACAATTCTCTTTAATGATATGCCCGTTTCACGGTGAAATTTGTTCAGGCATGCCTCGATACCTACTATTATCTTATGTTCGATAGGATATACCTAACGTATGAACTATCTATTTGAAAATTTATTAACATCATTCAAATAAACTATTTGCGATGATATTTGGAACAAATGTTCATTCAAACTTAGATCTCAAGTGAATACTTCTACTGTATTTCAAAAAACAAAAAAAAAAACACTCTCTTCGTACCTATAATTATAACTCGAGTATAATTCTCGTAGCCCCGACAAAAAAAAAAAAAAAAAGAAAAAAAAAGAAAGATTTTTTTGTTGAAACATACAAAGAAGAAAGATAGAAGCTTGGTACAAATTTCTTTGGCAAAGTTTAGCAAACCACAATCCGGATAAGCCAAAGCTTGCCATCAGTTCCCACTCGGGATGATGTTCTTCGGCAAGAGAACGGCACACGACAGGTATTGTCCGCGGTCTTAAATTATTCAACGTTCTCTAACACTGGCGAGAATCTTTGGCAGGTTTCGAGCGAGTGCGACGTCGAGGAAACGCAGAAAACTCTCATCTATCATGTCGAAACGCGTTACGCGAAAATAGTCGCAAGGATATCGCGAGGTCGGGCTTGGTTTTGGCTCTCTGTGGAAGAGTAGAGAGAGAGAGAGAGAGAGAAAGAAAGAGAGAAATAGAGAGAAATAGAGAAAGAGAGAGAGAGCAGACTTTAAGTTTCTTGCGTACTATTCCTCACAACTTTCCAATCATTTCACGTCATCGAATCTTGTAACGTTACGAACAAATGAACACAAATTTTTCTAGAAAATATAGAAGAACAAATTGCAACCTTTTTTTGTTCATTGTTTAAACGTTCGATTATTTACGTTATTTCTTTTGTAAGTTTTTTTTTTTTCTTTTCTTATAAAAAGTACGATTCTAAGTTAGTTATAATCAAACTCCAGAATTCGAAATAACCAAGTTCATCGAGAAGCGTTCTGTTTCCATTAGACTATAATTCACCGTGTCACACGTGTTAAAGCACGTGAGTTATGACGTAATGGCACAATGACGCGGTCATCGTAAATTCACTCGCCGAACACTCCTCGCACTCTGTACTTTATTGCTCTTGCTCTTTATAACACACTTTTTTTTTTTTTTCGTTGAAATGTTCTCGTTTAAAGTGTAGAAAGAAGAAGAAGAAAAAAAAGAAAAAAGAAAAGAAAAAAGAATTTAAGTAAAAGTCGATTTACTGGTTGAATTAAAAAAAAAGATAATAATAAATTTGAATATTTATAATATTATAAAAATAATGTGTTCTTAGTAATTATCATGAATTATTATATTATTTTATTATTATCATTATTATTTTATATAATATTTAACGATACGTGTGTGTGTGTGTGTGTGTGTATGTGATCTAAGCAATGCCATTAGTTTCTGTTCAGCTTGGAAAAGGGTGTCCTATGAATATGAGAGACTTACAAAG